TTCATGGTCATGGTGTTCACTATCACCTCCCTGTTAATAACACCCAAAGCTTTACCTTTAGCATTAACTGGTATCCTCAGTTCAAGTCTACATTTACAAAATTCTCATATTCTACTTAGATATACAAGTCAAGCCCAACATGTTGAGAAGTGACTTAGTTACCTTCCTCACATAGTAATAAGCTCTTCTCCATTCCTATCTGGACATTACTGGGATCCTAATCATTTAAGCTTAAAGCTGTAAACTTTTAACAATTCTGTCATCACTCCTGCCATTAATCTCATCACTTGCTGCATTTTGACAGTTCCATCTCTTCTAAATCTTTCATTTAATTGCTTAAACCCCAGAGTTCTTAACTTGCAATGATATAATCAGATCCCAGCCAGCTCTTCCAGTCTTGTCTCTTTTTGAGCCTCTGGCTGTTGGTTTGAAACCTTGGGAGCTTCCTGGGTGAGATCTGAAACTGGCTCCTGTACATGGAGGCAAGGAGAGACCGAAGAAAGAGGCAGGTCTCTCCAGATTGGGAGGTGGCAGGCTTAGTAAGCAAGGGAACTTACAGATGAGCCTGGTCTTTGGTGGCTACAAGACTAGTAAATCTCCACACCAGCCTGCCAGTCTCATAAGTTTATTTAGAGACCTTAACTGAGTTCAGTCCTGTAAACAATCTGGCTGGTTGCAATAATACATTGTTTTCTCAAGGTTGCATCCTTAAAAGTGGCTCCCCCCTGTGGGAACCGTTCGGGGGGGGGTAGGGAAGAGTGTACCATGTACAGACAGGGGGAGGGGTGAGGAGGCTTCAGTTGTCCGGGTCCAGCTTGCAGGTCAGCTGGCAGTCATGTCCTCTTGATGATGTTCTCCAACACCTACACATTGCTATGCCTCATCTAAACAGGTTGGACCACCATTCCTGCGCATTTTTCTCTTGTTTTCCCATCTCTATACCTTGATACCTATTATTTCCTCCTTGTAGAATGCCCTCATCCAGGACTAGTCATAAGATGAGGGGCTCAGTGTGAAATGAAAATGTCCCTTTTTCAACAAAGCAGGAAAAAGAGGCCTTTAAAGTTACCAAAATCAAAGCTTTCCACTTTTTTCTGTGTATCTCCTCTGCTCACACACAATCAGACTTTACTTACAAAATAAACTCAAAGATGAAATTATCAAGATGGTGACAGTAGAGAGTGAAACTAAGTGTGGGACCGCGCATGTGACTGCAGAGGTCACATGCCCACTAATCAGTCCTGCCCTCATTCACCTGGGCCTTTCTCCATCCTCCCCTACTCCCTCCAAAGACAAGTCCAAGGCTGTCTCTGCTGGGCAGATTAGGAACTGTTCACGTTCTTCTCTGGTCCAAAGATCTCTTTAGTGGTTTCCTCCTAGCACTTTGCAGAAGTCTCCGAGAACCATTTCTACTTCCTGTTAGTCCTTTAATCTCCTACTAGTTTATAAGTTTCTTAAAAGCAAGGGCTACATCTTGATGCATCCCTGTAGCATCAGTATTCAGTAATGTGAATTACACATAATAAATGCCTAATAAGTGTTTGCTAACAATGAATAAAAAGAACAGAGAGACGAGCACTGCTATCTGGAAGCCACATGCAATGTTTCCTTTTTCCCTCAAAGCAGGAATCACCTCGTGCACTAGTTCAAGTTCTCCAGGTGGCTCGCCAGTGCCTTCTTGTTTTCCTCTTCAGCTCCTAAATTAGTCCTCATGGTGCTCCTTCTAAGGACATTCCCTTTGGACATTACCATTGGATTTTGGTAATACATATATTTTTTAGTTTCTGAAAACGTATGCATTTACTCATTTTTTCAAGTATTTGGATAAAAGCCCAGGTGTTTGGTTTGGTTTTTGGGTTTTTTTGTTTTTGTTTTGGTTAAAGAAATTATTTTGATGAAGAAAAAATAAATCTGAAAATACTTTCTACACATTATTAAAAAATAACTTAACTTATTGTATGGTAGTGCTTTTCAGAATGACTTTGGGAAAATTCTCTGTGTTCAAGCAAGTTATCCAAGATTCATGGAACTACTTTGATAAAGAAGTTGAACCACTTGATACGAACCTTGAACTGCTACACTGGCTGAGTACATGTATCATCCTTGAACTGCTACACTGGCTGAGTACATGTATCATCCCAAGAAAAGAAATCAAGTTTATACCTTTCTTCCCTCCAAACACAAATATGCCCCTTTTGTAAATGTATTTCGAGCTGGAAATTCAAAATGCTCACTTGCACTTGTGGGAGAAGCTGCTTTTAACCAACACTATTAAGTGGAAAATATTTAAACAGCAAAACATTAATTAAAAAAATGCACCACAGACACTGCATCACTAAGAAAGCCAGTAACTTTACTGAATTGTCTGCAAAATACAAATTATACCTTATTTCCAGCAGGAGAAACTTTTGAAAATTCCCCACTTTTATTCACTACAGACAGCTGAATGAAGTCCCTTGAGATACACAGATGTGGTTTAACTTAGTTATAACATCTTGTCATCTAGTGGCGACAAAGTCCAGCTTATGCCGCTGTGAGCCTCTATTTGAATATTTGTTGCAAATGCTTGTATGCCCTCATTTACAAGCTATTTTAATTACTGTCATGTAATGGAAACAAGTCCCCAGAAAAAGAAAAGGAAGAAAAATGATACAGCAAACCATCTGAAGCAATCCAAGTCCTATGCCTACAGCGACCCGGGTCTGCGAGAGAACACTAGTACTGCGTTCAAACCACAACGGAATCCGTCACTTAGCTGACCTCTCTGAATTAAACTGAGGTATGAATCAATTTGAGGTATGACTAGGGAAGGCAAAATGCAATACCCGATTATGAAAATAACCAAAATGGACAAATTGAATGAGGAAGATATGTGGCTTGGATTGCTCCACATCTTTGGTTAAAACATATTAAGAAAAGCCTTTAATTACATCTGTAGTCCGAAGCATTCTAACAGATACCAGTATTCCGTCAATCTTCAAAAGATCTGTAGTGGCAGGAAATTAACGCCATGTAAGTGACGACATCACAGCAGATGGCACAAATGGGAACAGATGAAGTCTGCCATGCTCAGTTAACAGCCTTTATTGAGGGTTCGAGTGGCTGCATCTTTAAAAAAAAAAAAAAAAAAAAGCAACTTTTTTTTTTTTTTTTTTTTTTTTTAAAGAAAGAAATTACAAAGCATTTACCCTCTGGAAAAACAAACAAAGGCAAAAAGGGGGCAAAAAACAAAAAAACAAAACAAAACAAAAAAACCCGCTAGCTCTAAATTAAAAGATGGGTATGTTAAGAAAAACAAATACATCAAAAGGGTGAGAGGGCAGACATTCTTTTAAAAAGTGTATTGGAATTCTTTTCTTTTCTCACTTTAGTCAACCTTAAAATGATCCGAGGATGATAGGTATTTTCATATTCATCATTACAAAATGCTAAATTCCACCTTTGGGAGAAAAATAAGCCATTTTACTAAAAAACACAATTTTAAAAAAGATTGAAATGACCAGCCTTCCCTTCACCAATGCATACAATATACAGGTTGTGCAGCTTCCCTATATTGCATCAGTGTTACCAGTATTTAAGCTTAATATTACCAAAAATCTTTCAAAATAGGATTAGCTATAACAATATTTGTAGCTGTGTAAAATGCTACTTAGGATTCTTTTACTTGCAATGAAGAATGTTGCCTAAAATGTTACTCTAGGATGGGTTATGTAAAATAATACTCCCTCAGGGCTCTGCCCTAAACTCCTGAATACAAAGAATTTACTGTGATAAAAACCCAAAACCATACTAGCTTTGCAAATACAATAAATGGTAAATTACAGATAAGGTAGAAGGGTAAAGAGAGACAGTGATTGTTTACAGAAAGTGACTCATCACAATCAAAATTGTGCTTTTCCTCGTTAAATCATCTTTAAAAAACTCTCAGATTATCCCTTCGCTATCTTGCCACCACTTTATATGAATTCGGTAGTGGGAACAAGAGATGACTGGCATCCGTTTTCAAGTGATTTTGTTCTTTTCATGTTCTTATAAAACTATTGTCAGAACTGCTATAAATAGCCAAGGCTTCTGCTGGTACTTTAGCTTACTTTATCTTCAGCATTATAAATTCACTTTTCCTTTGTTGCTGAGGCAAATTGCAGGTAAAAAATTAATATGGCTATTTTTTCAGAGTTTCACATAATGACCCTTTCCCACCCACTGGTAAATTTCTGCTGATATTGATAAAGTGTCTTGAAATGACAAAGAACATTTGTGACATGTTTGCATATTTTATACACATCAAGTTATAAGGATGGTTCTAAGGATGGAATCAAGTCTACGGTGAGGAAAATGACTTTCTTAGATTCCCCCTGCCACGTGTGAGTAAGTGTGTGTGTGTGTGTTTTCAGGGATGATTCTTTGTTTTTCCTCTAAATAAATGATTTTCTTTCATGTTCCATGAATACCTTAAGGAGTGGGATATATGGAAAGGTTGAAAGATGTTTTTTTCTTTTGTTTTTAATATAGAAAACGTTCGTACAAGGCAGGCTAGCATCCTATATGGGTATGACCAAAGGTGCGATGTGGTCTAATTGTGGATTTCAGATCAAGTTAAGAAAATACAGCTTAGTCAGTAAGGTCTCTTGGCTTTTGCCACCCAGCGGCAGCCTTTTACAGTGAGAAACACATAGCAACTATGCAAGTGAAAGAAAAGGATGGATAAGAAATGTCCTAGACGTGCTATAGCAGTGTCAATCTTACTGTCTGGATCTTTGTTGCTGTGTATGTCAATGCACATGAGTGGAGATGAATCGACAGATCTTCACATTCCAAGAGAAGGAAAATCATTCCTAGATTGAAATCTCTTTTAAAACAATATATATCAACTTTTTTTTTTTTATGGCACTCACTTTTTAAAGGGTCTGAAAATTAATCCCTTATAGACGAATATTAGACAAGAGTCATCGCTATTTTTTGAAAAATTAAAAAAAAAGGGACATAGAGAGGTTCTTTAATGGGATTTCTTGAAATGGCTATTAAATCTCTTTATTGAAGAAAAAAAATAGATGACATACATGCTTTATGCAGAAGTGACATTTGGGGGTCCTGACACACCGGGATTGTTCAACAGTCCTATATTGCTGACAAGATTGTCGAGGGTCAGTTAAAATAATTAAAAATGGATGACGAAGCAACTATCCCTTTACCTGCTTCCTTCTTGTCTAGCACCCAGTCTTTCACATTTTTCTTCTGTGGGAATTTATGACTTGTGCGTTGAGTAAACGCCATATCACTGGTTTCTAGGGCCATATTTGCAGGACATGTGCCCCAACACAGCTTCTCTATTCCGGGCATGTTTCTAAAAAGTGTCTCAGATTCTAGGCTGAAAAACCAACCAGATAATTTAGGATCCGGGCAAGTTAGGGTATGCACTTACTGAATTCCAAGATGCATGGAGAAATGGTGAGATCAGAAAGGGGCCCTGCATTTGATAATAATGTAAAAACAAAAACAAAAAAATAGCATGAAAGAAACTCATTAGTATATACAATGGATGTCAGTTGACCCAGTAGATTGCTAATGTATTAAAAACAATTTAGGGTGTTGCAATGTGATATGTTCTAATCCCACAGGTTATCCTTTTGACAGCTGACCTTGAACTTATAAAACGTATGCAGAGTAAAAGAAAACAGAAAGAAAATAGTTACTCAAGTGTGCAACTGCACAAATATACCCCCCTCCCGCTATTAAGATAACAAAACTTCTGCTATTACCATAATATTATATATATTAGAAAGCTATACACAAGCATGTTAATTTCACAGATTTTTTAAAAGATTCTTAATATTTTATATAATTAGAAATACACATTTCAAAAACAAAACTTCTACAAAGAGAAAACAGTTATCTTGGTTAGCAAAGCATGGAGTTCCTCATGGCTTAGGGTAGTGCTTTCTATACAAAAAGTCCTTTTTGGTTTTTTACAGGACTGTTTAAAATATTAGCGAAGCTATCAAGGGGGAAAAAAACACATTTTGGCTTAAGTAAACTACAAAAAGCCACAAATGCTTTGCAAACTCTGTCTTACCTTTTATATGAAAATAAGCAAAATGTAATGTACATATTTTTATATTTTTATTTAATAAGAGATGCAGACCCAGATTTATTTATTTAATTAAATACGTTAGCCCTCAAACTCCACATTTTTTTTTTTAAATAGGTATGGTCCTCTTTTAATGGTCGTTGATCCTTTTCAATGAGTGCCATACGCCAATGATATGCGTGCAGGTTTGTGAGCGCGTTCTCAGGATGTTAGGTGACCTGGTGCGTTCCTAACATTTACCAATGGCCACCCTTTGCCGGGTCTGTCCAAAACATCTATACATTTTTCTATATGTTGCATAACAGCTGCTCTCTCTTTCAGTAAAGATCTGCCGCTTTTGGCAAATGTTTCCTTTTGTCTATTTACATGTAAATAACGTTGAACCTGCAACATGACACTATCTATTGTAACATACATTTTGCAAAGGAGCACAACAGTGAAAAGAAGTTAGCCTTAAAATCTATTTTGTACAAGTGTTCTGTTGTACAACTCAAGTGCTAAGCTTATCTCAGCATTTCTGTTTATCTTTATACTGTATCACTGAGGCAATTTAAAAGTACTTTTACAAAACAGAGTACCTGACTTTTTTTTTTTTTTTCCACACACAGCACATATAATGCATATCGACCCCCCTTCCCCATTAAGGTATAGCACACACACACACTGCAAGAAAAAAAAAAAACTAGTAAGTAATAATCTGATCATGTTGCCCATCCTTCAGAGAGTCGCATGCGCTTGACTGAGGGACTTTCCCTTTCGTCCGGCGAAGGTCTGGTGAGTCCAATGGGGGAGTGGAATTCATTCCGGTGATCCTCTCGGTCGCTCCCGTCGTACGAACTGCTACAGCTGCTCAAGCTGTCAACAGGAGATCTCCCCGCCTCGTGGCGCGTGTGTTGTGGGTATCTCGAAGGGGTGGTGGTACGGTCTCTAGGAGGAGAAACAGGTTCTGACTTGATGTTGAGGCTTTGAGTAGAAGGCAGGGAGAGATTTGAACTCTGAGATAAATGAGTGCTAGTGCAAGCTCTGTAGGAGGAAAGGAAACCCAGTTACAGATGGAGGAGGCCTGGAGCCCCCAGGAACTCACAATTACATCAAACATCAGCTTCAAGACTCGCATAGACACCGGAGCATGCCCAGAGGGAGGAGAGCGTGCTCGGAAGCACTGGTTGGGGGGGGGGCAGTGCCTGCTCAGAGCCACTGAGAATGCCTGGGAGTAATTACAGTATTTAACGGGGCCAGGCCTCGTGAATCATACCTCTAGTCTCTGACAGGCTCCCTACACATGCAGGTTACTGGCTCAGAGAGGCTTAACATGACACGCTGGAAAAAAGCATTTTCTGTGTCCATGGAATTTCTCCCTAGACTAGTTCCTAAATCTAGCCTAAGATTTAAGATACAATATGTAGTTTTTGAATGAGACGTCTCTGACTGACTAATGCCTATGTGTGGAAATTACTGCAAAAAGCCTGTGACGGATATAAATGGTTCGCTCCACGTAATAAGTGCGAACACATGAAGTTGTACAGTCTTCAGGGAGAGGGAGGAGAGTTCAAATTTCAAGTGAATAAATCCCTAAAATGCTACACTTAACTGTATCTGGTGAAAGACTGGAGGGGGGAAAGACGGGGAAGGAGGTTGAAGATTATTGGCCAAAAATTTAGACACTTAGACTTCCTACCCCACTAACATTGGTCAAGGGCTGGCCCTTCTTCATCCTTTCTGTTACGTGGGACGCAAGGGGCGTCTATTTTCCACAAGAACCTCAACTTCATCACTGCCATCCTCTCCCTGCCACAGTGTGTAGTAGGATATCACTCAGCCTGTAGTTATAATTGGCATGAGCTGAGAAATGTGGATTTGTCTAAGGAAAAGCTTTTGTAAAGAAGGATCTAGTGTGCTTTTATTGTGTTTATAAGCCTTAATCCTCATTTATTCCAGGAGAGTATAACTTTCCCTTCTTCCCAAATGTGGAAGAATTCGGACACTTGGCACTCTGGAGGGAAAAGCGTTAAGCCCTTGGGTGTCAGCTGGCAATTGCAATGACTTTGATCAGGATAAACTGGGAGAACACTGCCGACATCAATTTTAAGATGCGTGTACTGCTCCTGCATTCTAATCGCACTGACATCCGTGGCTAGAGTCAGCATTACTTGCCCACGTTGTCAAGAGAGTACAGATATCTCCCCTAGTGAGCAGTCACGGTGAAGAATAATCCATACAGATACACCCATTCTAGACAAAGGACAGTGAGCCTACCTACTCAGGGACGTGATTAAGTTACTTTCAAATGGAGAGAATTAGGTGACATTAAAAAGTCATTACGAGCGGTGAGAAAATGGGGATATATTTCAGAGGAAAAAGTGGAATAACTTGGGGTTGGCTTTTTGGGAGATGCAATTCAGACTCAAGATGTATAGAGATATAAAATTAGTCAAAATGAGTTTATCTTTGAGTGATGTTTTATACAAAAGCACCACCTACTGGCAAAGAATTACTTTCCTTCTCTTAATAAATGAGCTAATGCCTAGAATGACCTAAAGGAGAATTATTTGTTTCCCTAATAAGCCTTTCTTTCTCCAGCTTTTATGTTATAGGATCAAAACAGTCTTAGCATTTATATTAAGTTACCACATTGAGTGCGTGTGATTTTCAATTGCCTGTTTATACTTGTCATTATTTACTTATAGTTTTTACTTTACACTGCATTGGTTTATTAATTTTCTAAGAGTTTAATTAAATAATCTTTAAATCAAGAAGATATTAAGCCAGGGTTGGGGGGGGAGGAAACACCTGTATTTCAAAAGGATCCATGATGGTGGACTATTTTATCTGGGTTCAAAGTTACTTAATGATTCATTTTGATGTCAGAGGAAATCATCTTTTGATTTGTGGAAGAAAGAATTTTCCTGGCTCTCGATAAGAAAGGCCGTTTCACTAAAATTTAATTAAATGCTTCTACTATGAATCACACAACTCTTTAATAACGAATGTCAATTAGGAGTCTGTAAACAAAGTGGCGTCTCAACCAATACTTTGACTGCCCTTTGACATTTAGATTGCTTTTTCACAGGCAGGGAGACGTGGACAATTAGTAAAAAACTTTGGTGAAATGGACTAGTAGAAGCAGTTGATCTGGATGGATTAATTGATGCAAAAAATAGTGTAATCAAAATGCTGTTTCCTTAATGCAGCTTTTAGAAGCTGCATTACCTACGTATTTACGGTATCTCCCATTGTGAACTAGCTTGTACTGGTTTTGCGGCTTCTCTTCCCCATGGGAGATACAACACTCACTGCTTGCTTATCCCTTCCTGTAAACAAATAGGCGAGCCCCTCCGTTTCCTTTCTAGTGGCATTTCCTATGACACTGAAAGCACATATGAAGCATTTTGAGTAGTTCTGGGGACGCTAAATGCAGTCCTGAGATGTACGTGATGACTGAGACTCAGCTTCATTCTACTATGGCGGAGGATTCCAAATTACATAGAAGTATAATTGGCTAGTATTTTATCAAATTATTATCTTGGAAAGAAAAAAAGCATTAAAAATCCCTTAGCTGTATACATGCTAGATTCAGATACAAGCATGATGGTCTGCTTGTTCTTGAGAGCAAAATTTTTATAGACCCAGAGAATTGTGAAATACTCCAAGTGTGTGGGTGAGAAAGAGGTGGGTGGGGAGACAGAAGCCAGATATGCAAGTTGCCCATCTCCACTCCTGCTGCAAGTTTTCATGTACTACAGATGCCTTCCAACTGGGAAAACACCTACCCTTCCCCATAATTGCTCAGAAATGAAACATGACTGGATAGTTTTATTCAAATTTCTTACTGCCTCCGCCTGGAAATTAGACTATCAAACTATATTTAACTTAACCTTTTAAAAAGTTGTCTTTAAACACCCACATCAACAAAGATGGTGTATAGAAATGCTTCCAGAAAACAGGCTGCCCTTTTTTAAGGCGCTATGAGAAAAACGCTTAAAAATTCGAGGGTCATTTGCTCAAATATTCATATTCAAAGGACTGTCACTAACCCTTGATGGCAAGTTCCTTCTGCCAGTCATTTCTGCTTCCTGCATCAAATCAATGAATGCCATTTATCTGACTTGGTTAGATAAAATCAAATACTATAGAGAGTTAAAAGTACTGCTTTTAAAAATTGAAGGTATTTCCATCAACAAAACACGAAGAGCTCTTTTATCCTCTTAATTTTGGGAAAGAACTACGGTGACCATCTTGGGCGGCTGGGAATATATGCTTTGAAAAAGCTGAAATATATTTTACTCTACTCTAAACACTATATCTCTACAGAGGAGCGTGAACCCACCACACAAGGACATGAGGAAACTGTAGCCTAAAAAAAATACTGATTTTTTTGAATTAATTCACACTGTAGGGAATTAAGGCACCTCATATAATTTATTTTACATAAATTTTACAACTTGGGATTTTTAAAAATAGTTTAACATTTAATTGTGTGAACAAGGGCTAGTCCCTCTGAAGGAATCTTTTTTTTTGAGAAAGCTACCCTGTGTGTGTGTGTGTGTGTGTGTGTGTGTGTGTGTGTGTGTGAGAGAGAGAGAGAGAGGGGGGAAGGAAGAAAGGAAGGAAGGAAGGAGGCTGGCCAAAATCAGAAGGTGTGGAAGGGGTATCCTATCTATTTGCGGGATAAAGGAAGTGATTAAAAGTGCAATAAAAACTCATAGACTAAGTTCAGAGTCAAATACTGCACCATGAGAACCGTTGTTGAAAGAAACCGGAACTAAACAAAATGCTTCATCCCTGGCTGTTGTAATTTGGTTCCTCTGTAGGCCAGTTCTCTCCCTTCTCATTTACGGAAGCTTTTATTAAGGGCAGCAGAGAATTAGATTCTTCCCATGTAATAGAAGTGACTTTTAAGATTACAGTATAGTTAAAATACATACATTAATATGTAAAATGCAAATTGTTGGGTGTTACAAAAAACAAAAGAAAGCCACATTCAGATGAAATAATATGGCTTTTGACATCGATAATTTTTAAGGAAAACTAGTCCTCTAATGGATGAATTTTGTGAAACATGAGATGTGAACAGCTGCCTTGATCTTTGCCAAGAAGCACGTACAATGGATTCACTGCTTAGCCCTAGCGATGCGACACGCATGTATGTACTTCAAGATTGCCTGGATGGTATCGTGTACTCAGTCATAATTATCTCAAAAAGTTATTGCAGTAAATGTCTACTTGCATAGTTAACAATTCTGAGAAAATTTAAATGTCCTAAAAGGAGAAACTCTGTTGCTGATCAGTATTTAATATATCTTCAAAGTTAACAATCTTTTAAGAAAGCACAGCAATAATATCATGTAAATTTATTTTATTGTTTCCATGGAAGGTTATATTTTCAACAATAATGATCAGTGAGCAGGATGCACATAAGCAAATGGTGAATGGGGGAAGACTCTATTACTAGAGCACTCATCTATGTGAAATCAATTCCACAAGAAAGCTAGGAGGGCAGGGAGATGAAGTTGTGATGTCAAGGATTTTTATTCTAATCAGTGTTTTATCCTCATTTCTTTAGAACCAGAAGCATAGAGCTAGCTAACTATTCTAACCACATGGCTCGGCAGAAAAGTAAAAACGAGGTAGGCATATAGAGTGTTTCTAAAATATAAGCTCTTATCTTTCAATATTTTATATCTTCCTAGTATTTTCTTCTGAAGATTAACTGCAGTTATGGAGTTATTAGTTAAACTTAAAGTCAGATCTTTGATTCACGTTTTAAGCTTAAAAAAACCATATGTTTTACAAGGAGTGTGAATTCTGAATTCAGGGCTTTTTAAAGGTTTGAACATTTCTATACATAAATGACAGGAGTCATTTTTATGATAAAGACATTTCTCAAAATTACCACAAGGGGGCAGAAATACACATATTCTGATTTCAGAAAACAACAGAAATTATTTTTATACCCAAATTTAGGCAATTAGTGTATGCGCACATACACATATATTTACATTTGTGCAATATCTATAAATATATAACCACATGATGAGTACATTATAAATATATGAAATCAATGGAATAGGAGATCCTGTCAGTACTAGGTTAAGGTTAGCATAAATTAGATGGTGTATGCTGAGTGATAAGGGTTCACAAATACATCTAAAATTTAAAGGACTTATAAGTGTCTTCTTATGTCCCACGTGAGCTATATGAAAAGTCAACTGAATGAAAGTTTTTCATTGATCAAAGTGGAAACCAACATAGCCTAAAACAATAGGGAAGTAATGTATCTCATTATCACAGAGCTCCCCTTCTCTCAAAAAATAAGGAAAGGAATATCTAACTGACTTAAAAGATACTGATCTGATAATTACTTTCCCATTCTGATAAAGTAGAATTTTACATCCTTTAATGGGACACTAGAGCACAGTATCTAGAGACTGCTGTTGTCATCCAAGAACACATTCTCAAAGTGTTTTATAATAGAAATAATATTGCTTACCCCAGCTGACTGAGGGCGGATGGCGGCATGTTATGTAGGTGTTGCTGTTGCCAGCCAGTTACTGACCCAAGATGGAGAGCGCTGGCGGTGTTAAACCCAGACAGAGATGACAGGTCTGCACTACTCAGAGAGTACTCTAGACCAATAAATAAAACAATGAGGGAAAACACTCAATTTGAAAATTATCAAATGGTAAATACACATTTCCAATTCAAAAATACTCTTATTAGTATCATGTAATGATTATTATAAACTCTCTTACTCTCGGGGTAGAAGGAGATAAAGCATCAGGAGCAATTTTAATTTAAAAGAGATGTCTCGTTTACCAAAAAATAAGTATTCCACAAAAGCTTTAAAGTAGTACAGCTTGCAATTTTAGTTTACTAGAACTACAATCTGGCATTACAGTATATACATCTTTTATGATCTAGAAATGTTTTTTAAACAATCCTGAGAAAGTGAGCTTTCTATATATCCAAGAAATAATGGCTCATTTTCCTTGAAATTGGCCTTTTATATTGAATTCAGGTCAGGTCAATAAAACTTTCAGTCACTTAAGAAAGAAAAACAGGGATATTCACTTTGTCTTAGTAACATATAGGTAATGGTATAGTCTGTGGATGCCACAGGTACTAAATGAAGTTTCCTAATAGACTAAAGAGTGATATCTTTTTTTAAATCTTGCTTTTTAATAAAAAGTATTTAATGCACTATTTGAACATGGTAAAGCTACTCACCGGTACCATATGTTGTTGAAATGGCTGATGGATATCCTCCCATCCCTTGTCCTGGTAAAGTAGGAGTTGCTACGGAAACCACTGGGGTAGCCAATGACTGAGCAGACTGGGAGTTATTTATCCTTTGATTCTTTTAAAGTAAATAAAGAGACATTATTGATAGAATTTTTTAAAGTTAAAAATTAGATTTCAGTATTAATTTTGTGTATAAAGAACTTGGTACAAGTCTCATGAAATTAATCATTTAACATGTGTCTCTATGAACTCTGCCAACCCTATCATTTACAATCCTTCAAGAGACCAGTTGTTGCCATAGTAACCCATTACATCAGTATCTCCTAGGCAACTGAACTAGTAACAAGTACCATAAGCTTTATTATGGGTAAAAACAGACTATGTTGAAAACTGATGAAATATGTATACTGTACTCCATTGTTTCAGTTTTTATTCAAATGCAAATTAAAAAAAAATTAAAATCAACCATGGTGGTTTTTATGCTCAGTTCTATATACAGCAGAGCAGATGGGTGGAATTTCATGCTACATTCTGACCAGCAGGTGGTGCTCTGACCACTTTTTTCAGATTTTCTAAACTTCCCTCAGAACTAAATGGCAAAGCAAGCTAACATGTATATTTAACTCCTTACAGCAAGAAGATTAAAGATTCACATACATTTAAAAATCATGACAGTTTGAATTCTTAGAAAAATAAGTATCTTCATGGTTTAAATAAGGAAATTATTTTTGTTACAATTTTACAATAAATCAAGTCCTAAAATAAACTGAAAACATGGTCTTCTCTTGCAAAGGTTGAGACAGAAAAATAAATAACCTGACATTGTTTTCAGGTGTGTGATACTTGAAATTAATGGCATTTAAATATGATTCATTTGGACACACTATGGTAACTTCGAAATCTTCCCATTTTACTAGAGCCACCTCACCTAAAAGTCACCTTGGGTTTCTCCTTGCAGGTGCCATTTAAGGGAAGTACTCTTACTACTTACCAAAAGCAGGTCGACATCCTCAGACTGAGAGCATGGGGAAGGAGTTTTATTAATTAGTGTCTGTAAATATTTATAATTGGGCAAAATCTTTTCAACAAAAGGCAAAGCATCTTCTGATAGACACAACAGTTTAAACAATTTTAAAACCTAGACTCTACAGATAACTCCTTACAAAGACATTCTTTGTTTTCCTTAATGAACTGTTTGTCTCCAATGTGAAGACAATCTATCCAGTTTTCTGCACAGGTCAGTGTCTCAACCTTCATTATTTCAGCACCACGTTTTGAAAAAAAAAAAAAAGATTGTATTTTGAAACCCCACTTGCTGGAGGAGTGGGGGGCGCGGCAACTGGCTGCTGGTGAGAGGCTGGTTGTAGGACCACTCACAGGATCCCTGGGAGAACATCAGTTTTAAGGAACTTAGAATAAATCTGCGGATAGAGACAGCCTGCCATGCAAGGCCCACACCGCTTGGCTATGGCCCTGTGGGAGGTTTTATTTATTAGACCCAGTCTTTCCGAAGGGAATGTTGCATATTATGTGATTTTTTTTTTTGGTTGATATTCAAAATTAATCTGCACTGTGCCATAATAAACTAATCAGCTTGCAGGACTGTTTTACCCTGAAGCTTGCCACAGAGCACAGAATGAAAAAAAAGAAATGTGTTTGCAGAATGATCTAAATTTGTCTACTGAATCTTGGTTTTAAATGTTCTCACTCTTAAGCAAAGCTAATTTGGAGAACACGGATGTAAGTCTCTTTGTTATTGAATTTGGTCCCACAGTTATTATCTTCGTCTTAGCCCTGCAGACCCAGGAGAAAGGAAAATGAGAGAGTCCAGGGATATTATTTATACTTCTTAATTATTTATTTATTTATTTTTTCTTATAGTGCCAACTTTTTTTTTTTTTGGATGTAAAATATAACCTTTGTCCTCAGAATGCCTAGGATTTTAAAACAATTTGCTTTTCAGAGGTAGTTATTTGCATGAAGGGCATATATGGAAAGATGAACTGAGGCAATACACAGGTATGCGCTATAGTAATCGTTGCAATATACCTAAGAAAAGAATGGGCAGCTACTAACATGAGAACATTCATTTAGAAATTATGGAAAAGATTTTTGGTTGTCAGCACCTTGAGGACATAACTAGTTCAGTATTATAAACATCTGTTATGAAATTCCCTATTTTGTGAGTTTGATTCTACCATTGGTCAAACTGTATGCACCATAAGCAGTAGTAAGTCATGATTTTTTTCTAATTATAAATTGCAGGTCTTAAAAAAAGGAAATGCTTTTTTTGGTCCCAGAACACGAGTTTTAGAGGGGAGTTTATTGGATGTTGGTTTTTTGTTTTTGATTTTTTTTTTTTTTAACATGGAAAAGGGAAATGTGGACCAGTTACCAGAAATAATGGCTAAATACAAACAGGGCTCCAGCAATAGCATCAATAAGTTAATTTTCTGGGAGCACCTAAGTAATTCAAAATGTTAGAAAGATACAAAAACAGCAAAACATATACAAAACATTATCAACATTTATTTAAAATGTAGTTTCGCATTACCACTGATGGCATCGTATTCTTGCTGCCTGGTGGAATAAGAACTCGGAGATCTGGTTTACGGTTATTCATCCCTAAATTCATGGGGGGAGGAGATTTTGCTTGCATATTCTTGTTCAAGTTACCAGGTGAGACCAGCAGACCTGGTGAGTTTCGGGGATTGCCGTATCCGTTCCCTGTTAACACAAAACAATGAGAGCATTCAGGAAGAAATCTAGATTCAAGTACGTTTCTAGAGAATACACTATAAGAGATTAAAAATCAAAGCTTAACAGGGTAAGACATACAACAAAGTCTGTAGGATGACTAACAGCCTCCATGTGAAGACTAACCCGGCCAGTTAGTTTTTAAATATTCTCTGAAGGAAGACGAAAGATGTTTTAATGAGAAGAGCTAATATATACCAACTTGCTCAGAAATCGACGTATACTTTTATTCTATGAAAAAAATAATTCAGGAAGAAAGTCAGACCGTTGTTCAGGGTCTAAGAAAAGCACAGAATCGGTTCTGCACTTCAATTGACTAGCTTGGCAAAGGTCTGACTGGCGTGACTCACTCTTTCAGTTCAATGGTCTGGGTGTTATTTTCTGTGTCTGTGTGTCCTCAAGTGAAGAAAGGGCATACCAGTAAGACTATAATTTCTAGGACCTGCAGGAGGGGTAGCCGCTTCCACAGTTTGCTGCTGAGTTCCCCTTTCCTTGGAGTGGTTTCTCCTTATGGTTTTCATCCGTCTGGTTTGCCCTCCTCCCAAGTTCAGCGTATGACCCTGAAGGCTTGCTCTCCTTCAAAAGCAGGACTCCTTCTTAAGAGCTGAAATGAAGGCATGTTGCCTCCACTGTGATGCCGATTCCCCAAGGCACAAGAAGAGTCATCTCATAGGGACATTGAAAGGGTTCCTGTAGATAGCTGATGTTTAACCCGCTACTAACAGAACCGGCTATCTGAAGGATGCCATTTCTCATAATTCAAAATACGTTGCTCCATGACAGGAAGAGCTATGGAGGGAGTTGGTACAACCATAGCTGAGGCAGAACATCATCTGCTGGTTTTTTTCTGCTGCCGCTCACGCAGAGGAATAGAGACTCGCTCTCCAATTTGACAATCCTTGCTGGAAAACTAGACAGTTGTTTTCTGAAGTTCTCTAAAGGAGACAGTCAAACCTCGCTGTTACAGTCAGTCATCATTATCATTATCCTAAAACACAAGTGTCTATTACCCTAGGACGAATGATACTGTGTGCTACCCTGTGGGGAGGCAAGGACTTGGCCCCAGTCCTCAAACGCCCTGCAATTCCTTTGTGGTAATCCAATACACACATGTGAAATGTCCAAACCAGGACAATGTGGCCTCGGGGAAGGTGCCTACAGAGAGATGCCATCCAGATTAAGTGTTACTGAGCTCCTAGGAGGGAACAGATTATACAGTGAAGATTCACCTAAGAGGCAGGAGTTGATGTGGGCCTTGAAAAAGGAGAAGAGATAGTAAGACATGTTGAGCTTGTGACAGGGCTCGGGGAAAGGGCTGAGGTGGGAATTTACAGAGCACAATCAGGGACACTGTGAGCAAACTGGCTAGTAGGGAACTCATGAAAAGAGAGGAGAGTCGAAGACCTTAGAAGGACACGGAGAACTTGACTTCCAGGCTGATACATCTTGGATTTAAATGGTAGAAATGCAGACCCAAGAGGGTCACAGAGCAGAGGCCGAACACAGGCCTCTAAGGGGACAGAGAGATATACCGGCATTGGGATATCCTGTAATTTGGAAGGTCTGGGAGTATGAAGCAGTCTGGAAACTATGGTGATGGCCTGAGCTAAAGATGAGGAGGGAGTGGGAAGGCAAAGCACAGGTATATTTCAGGAAATATTTATGGAAACCTCTTTTGAATTAAAATACATTTGAGGCAAACTGTGTAGAACACATTTGTTCTTCATATCCCATTCATTTACCTGTCTCATTTTATGCATGAATAAACAGGCTGAATATATAACAAATAACTACAAGATTAAATCTGTCAATTGGGTCATCCGTAAAATTCTCCAAGTTACTGGGAGAAAAATAAAAATAAACGAACCCCCCACCCCCACCAAAACATGTGTCAAGGACACAGTAGTTTCTTAGGAAATGTTGGTTGAATTTGAATATAAATTACTCTTCTATAATAAAACTTCACTGAAAGTCACTAAATTCTCTACAGCTGGCTAAATATGTGAAAAGCCAAAATTTTCTTTTTCAGTTAATTTTGGACAGTTTTTGGTGGCAAAATTTACTATGTGAAACAAATACATTTATCTAGTATCAGTAGGAGAGATACAAAGAATTTGCTTACTTAGAAAAATGCTTGAAAAAGTAAATTTATATTTAATGTGTCTTAACTGAATCATTCTTGTGAGTATGTTAAGGCTCTAGTTTTAATTAATAGATTCTACTGGATAAAAAGAGGCTGAGAAAACCAAGACAAAATTTGCCCTATATTTTCCTGTCAGCTGAAGTTCAGTCTGATACACTCAATACATATGTCACTTATCTCTTAAGCCTGCGTGAGATCTGGTTTAAATAAACAATTAAATGGAAAATTAGGTGGGTAATTTCAAAAGAAGGGGGAAAAAGTCAGTTAAGCAGTGCAGTGAAGCTTGAATAGATCAGAGGAAACTAAAACTCTTGCTTGGTAGATGCCAATACTGGTTTGCATGGAGGAGTTATTTTGCTAAAAGGAAGTAAAACCGCTTTGTGAAATGTGTTGTCCTGTGATATGACAAACACTGGGCCAGTGTGTGAAAATGGAAATGGTTCACGGATGCTCTGAGAAAAGGTTTTTTTGAAAATAAAAAAAAAAATTTCTACAGTAAACTCTCTGAGAAATTCCAACAAAAACCTACATCTTTCTGCCCACATTTTAAAACAATTATCTAGGGCAGCAGGAAAAAAAAAACAAAACAGTAAACATACATTATAGTTTTTCATCCAATAAATGCCTCAAAACTAAAAAAAAAAAAAGGGTTTGAAAGCATTCTATTTTTCTCTTGGAATATTTCCTGTTATTTGGAAATTATGCCATTTTAGAAGATTAGTCACATATTTTAAGGTGTTTCCATATTGAACATAAAATATTTTGAACCACGATGACACTTCTTAAATTCATATTTTTAGAGCATAAAGTTATTTTTAAGAACAAATAAATTCTGCCTTTTACCGGTGAATTTCTGCTGTTTTTAGCATATTGTGCCAGCTAGCATTTTGGAGCCGTATAATAACCATTTCTGTTTCCAGCCACCAAGTTGTTATTCTTTTGGCATAATATAGATTCAGGAATGCAAGACTGTGGATCCTAAACCAGTGATATAGAAACCTATCATTTGAAAATCAATGATGAATACATGCGTGTGGTTTACTGCTAAGAAGAGCCTGCATTTAAACTGGCTTTGAAACCGCGGGCCTCCTCCTCACTCAGAAGGCTGTGGCCTGCGTGGAGGCTGTTGTCCTACCTTAAGATAAATTCACGGAAGAGAATGGTCTCATTCAAAGTCAGGGGTCAGGGAGGTGGGAAATGCCAGCTCTCAATAACCTTCTAATACACATATTCAACCTTTCTTCATGCTGTGTTTTAAAGTTACCCTCCGCCTGGACCACTATCGATTCAGATGTGACTTTATGCAGATGTCACAGTCCTCTGACCACTTAAAAGCACAAAAATTACAAAGCGTGAGTGAATGGATTTCCTGATTATAGATTATAAGAAATGAAGAACAGACCCACTTGAGAGTCAGTTTGTTTTATAGTTTGATTTGATTAAAAATATTGTTTCACATAAAATAAAACAATTTAAGCATTCACAATATAATTTGTAGGAAGGATAACAGCATCGACCTCGATTGCTTACAAGTTTCTAAACATTCATATTAAAACTAGTGTAAATATACAAAACTTGAAATGTGGTGTTAGGAGAAAAAATTTTTTTTCTCTCCAGTTAACTTGAAAACACTTGCTGTTTTTTTTTTTTTTTTTTTTTTTTTATTGACTCCTATTTTAAGAAGTTGTAAATTCAAAGAACATATTCCTGGCTTAAGATGTTGTGAGAAGGACATTTTGCCTTGTCTCACAGAGCGCAATTGAGCATGTAGCTAGCTCTCTCTGAGCCCAAAGTTCTAAAACTTCCTCTTACTTGGGTGTTTAGACATGAATCTCTTCACTTTCCCCCTAGGACTTCCATTATAAATACAAGCATACAAAACTAATAAGCACAAAACAGATACTAGTCTTTATGAACCACAGCTAATTTTTTTCACGGGCAACATTTTTTCTTCAGTCTCCTTAATTGTCCTCTTGGACTATCCCTGCTTCCTCTTCCAGCTCCCTATCCAATCAGATACCAAATCTCTTTTTCTTCAGAGATGCCTTCCTCCATCCCCACTGCCACCATCCTAAGGAAGGCTTTCATCGCCATTTGACTTGGTCTTTTATCAGGGTCTCTGGTCTCCAGTGGTAGGGTTCTTCACCAGACCTTAAGACTGGTTTCACGAAGATCGTGAGCTCCTTAAAGCTGTATGCAAACTTCTGTGCACGTGTGTGACAATAAATCTAACGGAGTCTCAAGAATTTCTCTAAAATTTTTTCTAAAGGGCTGTTTCTGTTATGTTACTTTTTCAGACCATACTTAACACTGTTGGGTCAGTGCCCTGCTTGGCTCTCAGAACTGCGCATAGTCTGACTCCCTCTGTTTCACCTAATTCCCAATATCTACAGCCAACCTCACAGCCCTCTGGATACGCCTGTGTCTTTGCTCTAGCAGTGTTTTCTCTCTTCTTGTTTTTTTTTTTTAATATTTTATTTATTTGAGAGAGAGAGAGAGAGAGCAGGGACTGGGGGGGGCGAGAGGGGCAGAGGGAGAGGGAGAAGCAGACTCCCTGCTGAGCAGGGAACCCGATGTGGGGCTTGATCCCAGGATCCCGGGATCATCACCTGAGCCAAAGGCAGACACTTAACTGAATGAGCCATCCAAGCACCCTGCTCTCCTGTTTAATTCAAATTCATTTTTTTAGAAGATTTTATTTATTTGACACAGAGAGAGAGAGAGAGAGATCACAAGTAGCAGAGAGGCAGGCAGAGAGGGAGGGGGAAGCAGGCTCCCTGCTGAGCAGAGAGCCCCATGTGGGGCTTGATCCCAGGACCCTGAGATC